TGCTACTGCTGGAACTTCAATATCCACTCTAGAAAATAATGGAATTTATGTTCACTGGCAGAGAACGACATTCAACTCAGATCCTCCTCTGAGTCCTACCTCTTACCTTCAGCTCTGCATAGGAAACATTTATGGTTCTAACTGAATAACAATTCCTAGGAAAGAGACTTTTCCTCACAAGATGACAATAGCACCAAGAATAGTTTACATGTATTTCATCTATAGAATAACATGACAAACCATTTCCTCAGAAAGGGCTGTTCACTTTAGAAATTTCCTCGTAAATCCTGTATGCTTATGTATGATAAAAGAATAAATTTCATGAAGATTTTTTTCAGTGACAAGTTTTATATGCAAGAAATTGAAGAGGGTTTAGCTCTATCTGTGTGTCTCTGTATTGAGATCATTATATTTATGATTATGGCCCCTTATTTTCTTAAAAATAATTTATTTTACTTTTAATTGTGTGTGTGTGTGTGTGTGTGTGTGTGTGTGTATCTCTATGTGCCCCTGGATAACAGAGGAGTCCCTTGCAACTAAAGTTGTGAACTGTCCAATATGGCTGTTTTGAACTGAACTCAGGTCTTTGGGTTTCCTCTTTGGGCATATGGTTCCTAACTACTGAGCCATCTCTCCAGCCTCCTACATTTTCCTTGATATAAACTAGAGACAATTCTGAATCACCATTGATCTAATTTATCAGAACTTCCAGAAAAAATCTTTTTACTTTATTATGTTATTGTTGTTTTGAGAATATCACATAATGTGTTAACAAAAAAGACACCCTTCCTCTCCCAAACGCCTCTTGGATCCTCTATCACATCCCTTCTCATGGATTTTTTTTATTATCTATCTATCTGTCTGTCTGTCTTCCTGTCTATAATCTATCTCTATCCCTGTTACCCTCTTTCTCTCTGTCTCTCTCTGTCTCTCTCTGTCTCTCCTAGAAGTTATCAGTTGCTAATAACTCCTCAGTTTGGAGTGAAATTTCATGCCCACTTCATTAGTTAAGGGTTTCAATGACTTTAATAAAAACACTAACCAAAATCAACTTGGAGTAGAAATCAAGGAAGGAAAATTGAGGTAGGAACTGAAGACAATGTCGTGGAGGAACATTGTTTAGTAACTTCCTCTTCATGGCTTGTTCAACCTGTTTTCTTTTATAACTCATGACCTCCTTCTCAGGGCTGACATGACCCAGAGTGGACTGAGTCCTGACACATAAATTTTGAATTTAAAATTTCCTGATAGATTTCTCTATGGGCGAATCTTAAAGCACTGTAGGCCAATATGTGCAACCACCTGTTATTTCTAGAATATATTTTTCTCTGCTTTTGCAACATTTCTGTGCTTTTTTCTGCAAAAAAATCCTTCAGTGTCACAGTAAAGGGATGTGATAGTACTTTGCAAATATTCTCTTTGTTGTAATTGTGACATGACTATTACATGAATATCCAATCACTTTATGATAGAATTTAAGGCCTGCTCTACAATATGAATCTCATATAAGATTGAATTTTAATATAACATTCACATTTTGAGGAGCAAAAGAGTGATCGTTCAATGTACCAGACATGTGGACAGACTGATAGATGGTGATAACGGATAAATATTATAGATAGATAGATAGATGGATGATAGATATATTAATGAAAAGTAGGCAGATAACACATGATAGATTAAGATATGATAGGTAATGATAAAGAAGATGGATAGATACATAATAGGTGATAGATAAATTTGAAAGATTTGAACAGTCATTGTTATTCTTCTATGGAAATTATTTGTTGTATTCTCCATAAGGATACTATAAAATGCCCTGGTATGGTCAGCATAACCCCTTACAATTTGTTAAATACAGTCTTTGTTATCCTTCATATTTATGTTTTAGGGAAAAGAAGTGCCAGAAAGAATAAATGTTGTGTTGAGTCAACAAAGACTCAAATCTGGAGAGGGCAGTATCCTTTACATGAGTCTCTTTCAGTATTGCTGAGTAAAGCAGGATGAAGACTGCACAGACTGTACAAACTAAAACATGGCTCTATCAAAGTCAGAGTTAGGAATGTAGAGAGAACCAACAAGTTATTGAGTCCTATTGAATGCAAGTGTTCAAAGAAGCTTTTAAGTCTGAAAAAATGGAATACTGTGAATGCCAATATCATGAGTTCAAGGACAGCCATGTCTACAGAATTAGAACCTGTCAAAAACAGAGGGGGCAAGGTTAATCTCTGTGGTTACTCTGAATAGAAACCCCAAAGTCTCTCACAGATCTATTAGGTGGAAGCAATTTAAAGAAACAAGACTGAAGAAGTTTCCGTCTGCCTCATAAAATAAAAATGGAAACATTCAGGACATAGTGAATGAAAATTGGTTTAAGTATTCATGTTCTTAAAAATCTATGACTTTGCATCAGAAAGCACTTCTCTAAGGAAAAAGTACATGGTGACATTTTTTGGGACTTGCAGGAATAGAATTTGAAGGGCAGCTAGTATTTAGTTACTCAGAGATCCTGTGATCAGTAGATAGAGCTGGAGGTTCCAAAAGACACACACTCCCAAGATATTTGATTCCAACCCAAGCTGATCCCAGTAATTTACTTAATCTTAAATAAGTAAATGATATTTGCTGATGTGGTATATTCTCAAAGACTCACATTGCTGACCTGTGGAGAGATAGACATCGTTCCAAGGACCAGGGAAAGTCTATCAGTCTCTCTGCCATTGGCAGACAATGAGTAAGAGGTTGCAGTCACACTCTCCAAGGAATGGAATTGATTATGAAAGCATAAATATCTGTGCCTTTCCATTTCACTTTTAACTGCATTTGATTTCTGCCTTAATAAGATGAAATAGATGATGAACACAACAGATTGCACTATCGTATGCTCCTCAGGAAGTGATGTCATTACTGAGCAGAAGAATATTAACTCTCAGACCTTGGTATGTGGCTATGGGTATAATAAATGGTTTTCATTTATATTATAGTGATTATTTCAATTCTGTTATAGTAATTATTGGGGTAAATCAAATAATTCAACCTCCATTGGTTAAGAACTATGACATACTTCACACTCCCATAGCAGAACTGTACCAATTTTCTATCCTGTTTCATTAATCTTTCCCAAACACTATGTTCATTCAATATATGGTTCAATGACTTTTGCCTAATTAGAATATACAGGTAGCAAGTAGCAATTTTCTGAAAAAATTATAACAAAAAAGTACTCTGGAAGAGAATACTACTTAAGAAAAGAAACATCCTGAAAAGACATGGGACACATACACTCTTCATGAGATTGGTGGTCACTGAATGGATATATATGGATAAACATCCTGTCTAGAGTAAATTGTGTATTATCTCATATATCTTAAAGTTAAAGAAGTGTCACAATATTGGGGGGTGCAACAGCAAAATTTTAGTTAAGAATTGTTGTTGTAGTAACATTCTCCAGCATTTGGGATTATTAGTCAATCGCCTTAGCATGTATTTTTTTCAACTTTTTCTTTTTAGCTCAGATTGATAACTTTATATCCATATATTACTTGTTATTGCATTGGACATACTTTCTCAATTTGACTTTGCCTCTGATAGACCCAAATTTGTTACAATATACACTGCTGTGAATTTTTTCCTGGAAAATGTGAACAAATGACTTTTTATTTCAGGGAAAACGTGTAGAAAAATTCAACTTAAGTATATAGTGGTGAAAATAAGAATTTACTGAACTGAAAATATCTAAGAAAGGGAGTCTTAGTCTTTCTTGGGTATAAGTCCCCTTAGTTAGTTATCTAATAGCAAGTGGTCAATATTGAAATCATATACATACAAAAACACCAAGTAAACTAAGCAATTTTTATTGATATATTTATTTGTGTGTTTGTGTAACAGTAGCAATTAAAGAATAGGAGGCCACGAATGTGAAAAAAGCAGGATACAGGGAAATGGGGACAAGATGGGGTTTGGAGGGATAACAGGAAAGGGAGTGTGGTGGTTTCAATGCAATGGGCTCCCGTAAGCTCATAGGGAGTGGCACTAGCAGGATGTATGGCCTTGTGGAGTGGGTGTGGTCTTGTAGGAAGAAGTGTGTCATGATGCAGGCAGGCTTTGAGGTCACATATGTGCTCAAGATACTGCCCAGAGTGACAGACCACTTACTGTTGCCTGCAAGATGTAGGACTCTCAGCTACTTCTTCAACATCATGTCTGCCTGTGTGCCTCCAAGTACCATCATGATGAAAATGGATTGAACTATAAGCAAGCCACACCAAATGAATGTTTTCCTTTAGGAGAGTTTCAGTAACAGAAACCCTAACTAAGACAGGAGGAAATGATATAATTATATTTTAATTTCAGAAAAGAAAATATACCTAAAAATAAAAACAAATACAGAAGTACTGCCATAAACATGATTTTGCATTTGTGGGCACAAGAACTAAAATGGAGCACACTGCATATTTAAAAACTACATAGAAAAAGACAACACATTTACCAGTGATACAAAGGTTCAAATAAATCTTAATTTCCAAAATAACTAATATAGGCAGGAAAATTGGAATAAACCCAAAATTTTCTTTAAAAGTTTCTAAATTGATAATGTATTTAAAACAATAGAAATGTACATCTGTTGTCTAATTCTATATGTCATTTTTCAGCATGTTCTAAACTATGACAATATGCTTCTTTGGATAGTTAAATGTTTTTACCCTTTATATGTCTCACACACATACATATACACATTTTCCATACTATTCACTAATGACATTAAAGTCTTCAAAAATCAATTTCATGATATAAGATTACACTATATTGACACTAGAAGTTCCATTTTATAGTCCATGTTCATGTCATTCCTTGGCAACATGCATCCATTAGTATTGGACAGTGATTGATTCACACAGAATTTTTTTTAATTACAAAGCTGCAGCTGGAGAATAAATCATAAGTACACATGAAAATATGCAGAGTCTCTTAAGAACATGGGAGACAACTCCACACATAGTCTAAGGCCCTGGGGGTTCTGCAGCACTGCACCTGCACCTCATCCACAGCATCATGGACAGTAACGCCTGTCTGAGCTTAGTGTTTCCCAAAATTAGGACACAGGAGTGGCCTGAGGGAAAAGCAAGTGCTATAACCTCAAAAGACAAATTGAACCAATTTTTATACGGAATCTTACTTTTCCAAGACTGCATAACAAGTGCCAGAAAGAAAATAGTATATAGGAACAGAAAGGTGACCACCATTTGCAGGGCCTTTATGTGGGCTGTGGTGCTGGGGTCTCTGGAGCCTTTGACATTTTGCTGCATGTTCTTCAGATGCCTCCACAGAGAGAAGATGAGAAGGAGAAAAGTCATCAAGGACACAATGAAGGGTATGAATGTGAATACAGTGTTGGTGAGTAAAGAAACCCTATAAAAATGTGCAAAGTCATTTGATCTAGAACTGTAGGATATATTTTCTTTAGATCCATCAATCCAGATAACAATATACGTGTTTATGACTATAATATTTATAAATAAGAAGAGAAGAGACACCAGCAGGGTCACTGAAACAACTTTTCTTACTCTCCACTTTAGGGAAAGAAAAATAGAATTTGAAAAGTTGGCTATCTTGAGCAAGTAAAAGATGCTGAGACATGTAGCAAGCCAGATGCTGAAATGATTGACCACTGTCCAGGAAAAATAAATTGTTCTCAATCTGTTTCCAGTTATCACTAAATATGGGTACATCTCATACATCAAAAAAACGATGAGTAGTGACCACACAAAAACAAGTCTGGAGACGGCCAGAGCAGTGAAGATCTTACCCATTGAAGAGATTTTTCTTCTTTTGTTCCAGTCCATGACGTTCACCAGTATTATGAATCCATTTCCTAAATTAGCTATAATAATTTCCACACCTAAAATGATTAATAATGTGTACTCTACAATAGCCTTCATTGTCACCAGGAGATGCTCCACGTTCTAGAGTACTGCTGAAGGTTTAGTAATGTGTTCTTCTAAAAGACAGGTCTATGTGATTCTTGAAAATCCAAAACATAATTGTTATTAACATCCACTCACAATGTCAATCAAATGTCAAAATTCATTAATGACTTGGTTTATAGTTTTCTTCACAAAAAATAATATATTGCCTAAGACGGCTCAGATAAATTTCAAATAGGTCTTATGTACTTTACATTCAACAGCAGGAAGTTCTCTGTAGTTGATGATAAAAGAAACATTAAATTTTCATGTGAGTCATCAAAACAAAAATACTCTTATTTACATTGTTTTACATGTCTACTTATTAAATTTTAGCTACTTAATTTCTCAACAAGCTAAAATTCAAGCTGGCAAAAACTAAGAATGACACTAAATACAATAAAATAAAATTTGAATGCGGGGGCATATTCTGATTTTAAGGTTCTTCCCTTAAGCTAGAGTTGCCTACTTATGTAATAGAGATAATGACCCCCATAAATACATTTTCCTAAGAATAGTAATCATTTTTTCTTCAATAAGGTTATACATGCTCTCTTCTACATGAAAACACAAATGTACACTAATGTATAAATATAAAGTTAGACACATATCCCTTCAGTTCTCACTTCATTAACTTCTATTTACTATTAGTAAATATTTCCTATGCCTCAGACTCATTCTTAGTATTGTAGTAGCAGTAGACATTGTGTAAATTGCTTTCAGATATAGTTGACACAGTAAATATTCTGCAAACTTTTATATATTTTATCCATGCATGAAAAAGCTTTAGCAATATTCTTGTGCTACAGAGCAGACAAGATTATGTAAATCAACCTACAACACAAAATTCCCCCTCACTCTCTGAATCTCTCTTTGTAGTACATCCCTTTCCCCCCACATCAGTACCGAGGAGCTTCAAGTAGTATCCATTTCCTTTCATTTGACTCCAATGTCTGCTCCATTACTATCATTGTAGGCATTAAACAGATGAGTGATTATGCGTAGGTAGACTGGAAAATGAGGCATAGAATGATAATATTCTTCAAAAGTGAAAAGATAATCAAAGAAACAATGACATAAAGCAGACCAAAGGCAGGAGAAAAATACACATCAAGCACTACATTTAGTTTCACTGGTACCGCTGGTAAATACTGCCCAGTACTTAAGATTTAGACTCAGAAGGATAACCAATCTGGAATAAATGATCAGAACCTGTCTCAAAAAAATAATGACAACAGAAATCTGTAGAGATTGCAGAGAAATACATGGAATATTGCCTGTTGAAGATGGACCACAAATTCAATCACCTGGAAAAACTCTGTGTAAAACAAAAAAAAGTGATATTTCTTATAATTGCCAACATTTGAGGAAAAGACATACTGCGAAAATGAATTAGCCTGGAGATTAAAATTTTAAGAGAAAATATTAAAGATAAAAACTTAAACATACCATCACTGCAGAGACATGAAGGTCCTCTTGGTGTGGCTCCTTCCTCACAGCACTAAGACAAAGAAATGCAAAACCCTCTGGAGTGGGTGTGGAATGTGCACTGCTACTGGAATGGCAAGGTCTTTCAGAAAAATGACAGGACTTGTATCCACTAGGAGAGTAGCAATCACTCAAGGGAACTTCTCCAACCCACTTCCTTGCACTCTCCACTCTGGGTGGGAAAGGGAGAAAATTCCATCTGAACAGCAGTTGATGGGAAAGACGGTGTTTTCAAACAAGGAGAGCAGCGCCAAGAATAATTCCCACACAACTCAATTATAAATCATATAGATCACTTTCTACTAAGCATTAATGTCCTGTAAATTTTATATTTATAACTATATTATATATTTACAAATCAGTGTACTTCAAATTTATATTAAGTACAAGTTTTATTATCTCACTAAATACATGTAATAGAAAAGGGTTTAGCAAACCCAAACTCTCCCTGTGCTCTAGACTCTCGATTATAACACTCACATTTACCATAATTTTAAGAAAATGTATTCCCTTCTCTATATTTTTAAATTAATGTTGTTTTAGTGCAAAATTTCAGATATTAATGGAAAATTTGTGATTTCTAGTATAATAGATAATATATAGGTAGGTAGTTGATGGATATATGGATAATACATAGATACATATATAGACAGATGACAGACAGATAGATTTGAAGAGTCAGCTTTGTTCATTTCTACAGAACTATGTTATCAGTACGGAGACTGCTATATTTCCAGCAAAGTTACCATATCTGCTTATAATTTGTTAGTCTGTCTAGCTTTGCTCATATGTGCAGGTATCAAGGGCTGATCACTTGATATTGGAAAATGTCTGTGGGAGCTTGTTCCTGGAGAAGACTGATTCTCCTCTCTCCTCAGGTATTTACCACCCATAGTTCTTTTATCTTGCAGGTGAAACCTAAGGAATTTCCTGTTCATGTTGCTATGTCAACTGATATTTATCACTATCAATACTGTTCAGAAAATAATAGTGTTGAGAGTTCATGGATGCAGCTTCCTGTCATACAGCAAAGATACTATGTCACCAAAGACATTATGGTCTTTTGATTATTACAGATAATCTTTCTGTATTCTTTTCTGTAATTTTCCCCAAGCCTTTTTGGGTTGAACAACCTACAAACCATCATTATCTGCATTTTCAACCCGCTTTGAATTTATGTAATCCTCTCCATGTGTTGCAAAAAGAAACTACTGCTGAAGAGCAAGTGGTATTCTCATGTGTGGGTATAAGGATATATATTTAAAATATAATTAGAAATTACATTGGTTTAGAAAAACAGCAATAGAAATTTCTCCTCTTATGATGCCTCTCCTCACTCCTTTCAAGTCCACCACATTCCCTCCCTCCCTAGTCCGTTGTGCTAATGAGATTTGATGTCAACTTGACACAAGATATAGGAGGAAATGTGGATTAAGAGAATGCCCCCAGAAAATCAGGCTGTAGGCAAGCTTGTGAAGAATTTTCTTAGTGTTAGATTAGGGAAGGCTCAGACCATTGTGTGTAGTGCCATGCCTGAGCTGGTTGTCCTGGGTTCTGTAAGAAAACAGACTGAACAAGCTAGTAAGCAGCACACTTTCATGGCCTATGCATTAGCTCCTGCCTCCAGGTTCTTGCCCAGCTTGATTTTCTGCCCTAACTTCTTCAGTGATAGACTACAATATGGAAGTGTAATAAAAATACACCCTTTTCTTCCAAGCTTGCTTTTGGTAATGGTGTTTCATCTTAGCAATCATAAGCCTTACTAAATCTTCCATTGTAACGGATGTTCCCATTTGGTTCCGCACCTACCTCAGCCCCAAATGAACACATAAAGATTTATATTAATTATCAAACTGTTGGCTGATGACTGGGACTTCTTCCTGGCTAGCTCTGTCTTAATTATTAACCTATAACTACTAATCTATATATTTCTACATGGTCTTATCTTACTAGAAAATACCTGACTCGCATTCTCTCTTCCCAAAATCACATGGTGACTCCTCTTTGCCTAGACCTACCAAAACTCTCCTCATCTCCTAGATCCATATATCTTGCTGCCCTATTGGCCAACAGTGTTTTATTTATCAAACAATAATATAAATATATATAGAAGGACAACCCCATCATCTCCTCTATTCTGTGTAAAAACAAAGGTTTATAACTTTAACATAGTAAAATTATATACAGCAAAACAGTTATGTAAGAACTATGGTTACAATATTTAGTATATTAACATTTAGCAAGATTTAAAGAAGATATTCGATCGTCTATCCTATCATTGTGAGTCTAAAGTCTTATATGTAACTTATATTTTATCAAAACAAAGAAAAACCATAACCATAACTATCTGTCTTCAACTCCATCAAAGACCTCAGAACGAAAATATATAAACTCTAGAGTTGACAGAGACATCTGACTACTTGAACAGTCTCCCAAAGTACCTCTGTAATGTGGGAACATCCATCTCAACCTGTAGGCCCAGTATGTCTGGAAGACTTCTCAGTGAAACGGGAAATTTTAAACTGTCCGCTTGCGTTGGAAGTTTGGCAGTCATTTTTCTCTGTGTCCTGCAGAATGTCTGGCAGACTGTTCCATGAAGCAGGAACACTGAGACTGTCCATTTTTGTTTTGCAAGTTAAGCAGTCACTTTCCTATGGGTTTCCCATGTCCAGTTTATACAACATACACAAACAGTTCAGGCAAGAGCAGTTTCTTGCCGAAATGGTTATTCCTACCATGTTGAAGGCAAACTCCATAATGAGTTTCTTCAATGCCAGTCTTCCTCTCTGAAGTATTTTGTGTGACCAGCACAGCTGTGTCTCACTGTCATGAAAAACCCTAAACGATTTGAAATTCCATATTTTGTAGGTCTTTGAAAGGTTTAAAGAATATCTATCCATCTCAAGTATATTTTTGTATATATAGAAAACCTAAGTCAACTATAAGTTTTGACTATTATAGGTGACTATCTGTAATTTGTACTTAATTATACATTATATTTTTAATGAGCTGTATAAACACAATACCTAAACAAGAGAAGAAATATACAAATAACAAAATTGACCTTAAATTTGCATCAATGGACCAAAATCTATACCAATACAAAGTATTCATTTCTATATCATATTCCCCTTTTTTTCCTTTAAAAAGAGATTGGTTATTATCCTTAATTGTTTTTAACAAATCAAATTTAAATAAAAAGAGAGCATTTATAAACAATTTTTGGCATTTTGGGTGTTACTCTTTCCAAACTACTTCCTGATATTTGGGGGCATTGTTATGGGGATCATGTGAAAACAGAAAACTGTTCAAATTCTGGCTGTAGTATTCTGTGAGGCTGCATCATCTCAGCTGCTTTGGATGTTGGATCTCCTGGGCCACTGCTTCAGGGGGGTCTTTCTTGATCAAACCATATTAGTCTGGAAGGAATCCACAGCTTTTCACTTTCTGTGGAACCAAGAAAAAAATCTCTTTTCCATAGTAACATG